TGTGACTATGTGACTATGTGACTCGCTTATAACTTTTGAACGACTGAACCGATCGGAACGAACTAAACAGCGTTCTGAAGAGTTTCCTCGAACTTAGATTTCCTGAGAATTTGAACCGATTCGGACCGATAGATTTTAAGAAATCTTGAAAAATCTCAAAAAAAGCAAGAAAAACATCATTTTTAAAAGTGGTTTTTTTGGAATATCTTTTAAACGGCCCGATCGATCAACTTTAAAAACTAATGCGCCCTTAAGCTTGGAAAACCACGCCGATCGTCGCTAATCCGGTCGGAATCGGTTAATTCGTTCGAGAAATATCGTGAACGAAAGAAAACCTAGAAAAGTGTTTTTTCAGGATTACTCCGAAATTTTTGGTTCGATTAATGAAAACCTAAAAATGACTTTTGCGGATGATAAAACTGCGTTGAATGCCGCCAACTCCGTGAAAACTGTTGATCCATTCAAAAGTTATTGCGGTTTGAAAATTCCAAAAATAGTGTTCTATAAAACTTCTATCAGACTTTTGAGCTAGAAGAGCTCAAATGCATAGAAATATTATTTTTTTGAACTCAGTGAGCTCAAAATATCCCATAAATTATATTTTGAGCTCAAAAATCTTTAAAATGTCATAAGTACAATTTTAAGCGCCCAGAAATCGAATTAGCGGGAAGTTGCAGGGATGGCCTTTAGAGTGAACCGTTTTTCTAATTTTTTTAATTTTCAAACCGTACCAACTTTCAAATGAATCAACTGATTTTCACGTGGTTAGCAGTATTTGACGCAATTTTTTTAGTTTCATGAGGAATCTTCAAGTTTGAATTGATAAAACTAGGAAATTTGGAGTAATTCCAAAAAAAATACTTTTTTTTTGGTTTTCTTTCGTTCTTGATATTTCTTGAACGAATTGACTAATTTTGACCGGCTTGACGGCGATCGGCGTAATTTTTTCATGCTAATAGCTGATTAGTTTTTGATATCGATCAGTGCAGCCGTTTTAAAGTTATTCTAAAAAATTTCGGAGTTATGTTAATAAAACACTTGTTTCTAAACATTTCATCGAGGATATCTCTTGAACCAATCAACCGATTTCCACGTTTTTGGCAGCGATCGACGCGGCTTTTTAAGCTCTGAAATTATTCTATATTATCAAAGAGAATCCGAAAAGAAATAACCAAGTAATGTGAACAAAATACTTTTCTCGGTTTTCTTTCGTTCACGATCTCTCTCGAACGAATCAACCGATTTTGACCAGATTAGCGTCGATCAGCGTGGTTTTTTAAGCTTAAGGGCGGATTAGTTTTTTAAGTTGATCGATAGAGCCGTTAAAAAAATATTCCAAAAAAACCACTTTCAAAAATGATTTTTTTTCTTATTTTTTTTTTGAGATTTTTTCAAAATTATTCAAAATCTATCAGTCCGAACCAGTTCAAATCCTAAGGAATTATTTGTTTGAGGGAACTCTGTAGAACGCCGTTTAGTTCGTTCCGATCGGTTCAGTCGTTCAAAAGTTATAAGCGAGTCACACACACACACACACACACACACACACACACACACACACACACACACACACACACACACACACACACACACA